TCAACTTTAATCATTTAATTTTAAATATTATTTTAATATATCTACTAACAACTAACCATACCAACTTTTTTAAAACTAACCAAACCAAACAAAAAAATCCAAACAAAACCAAAAATTTTTATATCCAATCATATAGAGTTTGGCGAATCGAAAAGTTTCCGAAGTTGTAACTCTCTCCTCCCTAGCTCGTTCTCTAGTTACCGAATGATTATTGATTCCATTCCATTGACTTATTATTTTTTCATGCTATCAGTTTTTCTAACAAAGGAGATTGAATGGCTCGCGCCCACTTAGTGATTTTGAACTAAATCAATTCCAACCTGATTGAACAATATCATGAAACACATTCTCTTGTAACCATAAGGTGCAAATTTGAAGGTTCGACAACCCTGTGCAATACAAAGTTGCAAGGATAGGTAAAACGTAAGACAATTGTTTTTTTTTTCTTTTTTTATCTAGTCGTAACCTAAGGGAGCATATAGACAAATTCAATTTCGACTAGCTTATCAATATTAACGCACTGAATTACAATTTTAATAAGCCATTTGAGTCTTACATGAAAAAATAAAATAAATAAATAAATAAGTACACAACTCATATTCTTGAGCATTTACTTGGCTTGGCTGGTGAATTCAAAGAGCTTTTAACGAGATTGAGGTCGGCTTATTTGATAAATGAGTCGAGCTGACTCCGAGAGTATAGCCGAGCCAAGTTTACCCGTAGTTTGTTTCATGTTACAGCTATAAAACCCGACATCAGATTGGCCCGTTAGAGACAGTCATAGCCCAGCTGATGAAGCCCAAATAAGCATCGCACAAGGCCGATTTGACTATCTCCAACTTATAATTGTGGCCCGTTAGAAAAGGTCAAAGCCCACCTCATGAAGCCCAAACAGGCATACCACGTGCCACTCGCACGTGGTTCACAGCCTTGTGCAAAATAGCAATCGAACCCTCTCGTCAAGCTCCATTTTTGCCTTCACATATTTGTTTGTTCTCTCTGCAACTCCATTTTACGAATCTCGAGATGGCGATGAAGAGCGGCTTCAGGTTTTGCGCTTCCAAGCTACTGGGTTCTTCTCCTTCGGTTACTCCCAAATCAGGTCTATTATTTCTCAATTCGTTTCTGGCTTTTTTTTTTCCAGTAATTTTCATTCGCTTTGGTTGCTGGATCTGTTTGGTTGATTTGTGCGATGTATGATAAATGTTAATTTTTGTGAGTGTGAATCGTATGAATTGTTCATTTTTTGATGTGGGATACGTTTTGTCTGTGAGAACATGGTTGCTCCCTCGTTTTGTTTTATCTAATTAGATGAATCGAGGGTCTTATGCATAAGTTATTGTGGTTATTTGTGTTGTTTGGTTGGTAATGTTGATTTTGGTTGATGGGGCTTGTTAAGAAATGGATAAGCAGGTCATGTATAAGTGTATTTGTATTTGTGCTCTCAGTGCAAATGATTAGCTATCTCTGGCGAATGTACTATGTCAATGTGTAGTTTTAGGCTGAGGTTGTGTGTTTTATGTGTGCAGAATATGTATGATGAGTTGATGAATATATGTGTGATATGTGTTGATATCGAAAGTGGATTCTATTTAATCAGGAGTTGTTAGTGTTACAATTTTAATGGATTTTTTGCCTTTTGCCTTATGATTTCTCCAGCGTTTTATATCGGGGAAAAGGCCAAATGGCCACTGAATATGGGTTGTTGATGTTTGACTGACTCTGTGATTGAAGGCTCTATGTTCTTCACTCGTGTTTTGTTTTATACTGCACAAGGAGAGCTGTTTTTGAATAGTTGATTCCATTAGACACTCGTTAGCTCGTCCATTAATCTTGCTTATTGGTTGCATAGTTTAAAATGGCGACGCCATGGCGACGCCTCGAGGCGAGGCGACCGAGGCGAGGGCCACATCGCCTCGCCACTGCCTGAGGCAACCCTGTTCGCGAGGCGCTCGCTTCAGGTCGCCTCGGCTCGCCTTTTCGCGTGGTGAAAGGCGCCTGTGTGGCGCTCCTCGGCGCCTTTCAGGGGAATTAAAGGCACAGACCACCCCTTATTTTAAAAAATAATAATAATAAATGCGTGTTAACACATTCTGGAAAAGAGAACAAAAAAACACACATCGGGCTCTTTTTTCCTTCATCTCCCAGACCCACGAAGCTAGGGTTTTATCGGACTGAGGACATAAGCAAAAAAATCTTCACCTTCAAAAACCTTCAACTACTTTCTTAAGTGGTGTTTGTGTTTCAATTACTTGCTTTTATGGTAGATATTTGATGTTATTTTTATCATATGTACACAACTATATAAATGCACAATCTATAATATTGTTTTTCTAAATTTTGGTGATATGTGTAGTCGAGGCCTCGCCATGGCGAATCGCCTCGCCTCGTGGCGAGGCCATGGGCGAATCGCCTCGCCTCGCCTCGCCATTCGCCATTTAAAACTATGATTGGTTGTTAAACTGATGACATTAGCTTAGAATCCTGTATCGTCTTAGATCAAATTCCTTGTTCTTGGGTCATATTCTTACTTTTATCCACTTTCCAGTATCGTATTTGACTGGATGACTTGCGTGCATGTAACATGATGTGGTACAATTCCTGCACTGAATTCTTGTAAAATTATTGTCATCGAAATTCTGGTTTTGTGATAACTTCTTGTTTCATTTGAATCGCAAGTAACTAATATACTGTCATCGAAATTCTGGTGTTGTGATAACTTCTTGTTTCATTTGAATCGCAATTAACTAAAATATCACATGTAGATGATGGAAGAGTATGAAAAAGAAAAAATGTATTTTTTTTCTGGTTTATATTTCCTTTTATTGGTGCATGGGGTGTCATTTCCTTGTGTTTATTATTGTAGCAACTTTAGTTTGCAGGTTTTGTTTGGATTTTTTGGTTTGGTTCGGTATGGTTAATTTTGAAAAAAAGTGGTATGGTTAGTTTTTAGTGGGATTTTGAGTTTATATTAAAATAATATTTAAAATGAAATAATTAAAATATATTTGATGTAAAAGTAGGAAAGATCTGACGTGAAGTATTTACTAATTAAAACTATGTGAGTGGATGAATATGAACTAAAGTTGATGTAATGTGTAAGAATGATTGAATGGTGTGTAAGAATGATTGAATGATATTATTTGATTATATTGAGGATAGTGGAGATGAGTTACAGTTGAGTTAGATTTGAGTTAAAAAAAAATGATTGGATTTTTTTTTTAAAAAAAAAATTGTATACAAGCATCTTATGAATGGTTAAATGACTGTACGTTGGAGGTTTTGAATGAATAGAACTCATGTTCGTTATATCACCTGCTCCGGGCATGTTTGTATACAAGAATTTTCACCAAAAAATTCATTCACCTCAAAATCTAACTCAATTTTAACTCAACTCCACTATCCTCAATATTATCAATATAATTAAATAATACCATACAATCATTCTTACACATCACCTTTAATTCACTATTTCATCCACTCACATAATTTTAACTAACCATCACTTCATAACATATCTCTCCTACTTTTAATTTTAACTAACCATCACTTCATATCATTTATCTCCTACTTTTAATTTTAACTAACCATCACTTCATATCCACTCACATTATTTTAATATAAATTCAAAATCCCACTAACAACTAACCATACCATCTTTTTCCAAATTAGCTCAAGTTAACCAAAAAAATCCACTTTTTTGAAAAAATTTGTAAACAAACATGCTCTAATATTTTGTGTGTTGCATAGATAAAATGTTAGTATATGTAAATTGTCATACGCTATAGCATTGTGCATGCATAAATAATTGACTTCTTTTCGGATTTACATTTTATAGTATATGTAAATTGTCATACGCTATAGCCCTTCCCCTCATCTCAGTTTAGCATTATACAAGAGAACTCTAGTTATCCTTCAATTATATAACTAATCAAATATCTTTGACATGATGTACATATATTCGATTGGAAAATAAAGTATACTTACTAAACAGTAAACTATAAAATTTATTTTTTTTCCCCATCTAAAGTATGCAGGAGTAACATGTGTACTTACTCCACGACCATAATTATATGAAAATATGATTTTGTATGGACTAGATTGCTGACTTTATCATGATCAAGCAGTACTTGTGATTTTCTTCCTATTCTCTACAGTCGATCTTGGATCATACTATGGTGTATTTATATTTCTACCCACATAACATTGAATTCTTTTTTCCTTGCAGTGAATAGGGGAATTCACTCGACGAGTGTGAAGAATATGGGAGGAGGACACGGGCATGACGAGCCCTACTACCTTCACGCAAAGCACATGTACAACTTGGACAGGATGAAAAACCAGAAACTCACGATGACTCTCGGTGTTCTTACTGCATTCAGCATTGGTGTTGGTGTCCCCATTTTTGCAGTCGTCTTTCAGCAAAAGAAGACTGCTTCTGCATAATTATCTTAATTGATAAAAAAATGCACGTTTTTTTTTCTGTAATAACCGGAGTCTATATTTAGGTAATGGTAGACGCGAAGAACATGGTTCATTTCTTTTTCTGCATAAATTATCGGGTTTCAAGCATTTGCTTCGAATTGGAGATGTTTGCTTGCATGTTTTGTCTGGAAATTGTTGATGACGACTTTGAAATGTGTTGGTGGCCTTTTAATCTTTTCAGACGTAATTAATAATTCTGTTTTTACTTTTTACCCATGTATTTTTTTTTACCATCTCTTGTGGTGCTGCTAAAAGCTAGTACACTGAAAAATGTTTTGGTACATGATCTTACCACCACAGGCTACAGTTGCCTCATTTGAAATTGGAGACAAGCATGTGTAATGGACCACACAAAGGCATTACATTGCCTTTTGGAAAATGTATGTACAATAAATAAGTTCAAACATTTGATGTACTGTAATAAGATTCTCCTCCAGCTGTATGAAGTTGTTCCATGAATCACATATTATCATCCTCTTGATATGTATCTTTTGTGTGAACATATCAATTAACTGTATACCTCTGTGGATTTAATGTGCAATTATGCCTTACTGGCAAGTAACAAATTGTCGAAAAATTCGACCCGAGGGTGAAATTGTTTGCGAAGATTGTGCATTTGGGTTGAATTTGACAAAATTGTTAGTCGGGTTCTATAATTCTTCGGGTTGGATTTGCAAAATTGTCATTCGGGCTTCCATCATTCGTGATATCCAACATTTGTTTACGATTGACTACTAATAAAAAGAAGGAGAATTTACATTTCGATAAGAAGGGCGCCCATTGACATTAAGTTCACTGGCGAACAAAACGACTATGTTTTCAATCTTGGTAAGCGTTCAGAAAGAACTAATGGAACGTGTTTGTCAACACATTCGTGAAAACAATCGATTAATAAACGAACAAACAAGCTCGAGTTACCTCTACCATAAACAAAAACTTCTGGTTTCAGCTCGTGTTGACTCGTTTACTCCCCTAATTCTATTCTTAAGTTAAACAATAGGTGTGGTATAGGTTATTATTAATATTCCCTACAGACATATATCATAAAAGATCTTCCCAACAGCCACTACAGAAGCAAACTCCACTAATGGCATGAGATTTTGGAATCCAATATAGATAAACATAGACTTATTATGAGGCTA